CCTGTGCTCTCTAAATGGAGCAACAAAGCCTGGATGACAGCACATCTGTTTACAACATGGTTTTCTGAATATTTTCAGCCCGCTGAAAACTGCTCCTCAGGAAAAAAAAATTTCTTTCAAAATATTACTGCTTATTGACAATGCAGCTTGTCACCCAAAAGCTCTAATGGAGATATACAATGAGATTGATGTTGTTTTCATGCCTGCTAACAAAACATCCATTCTGCAGCCCATGGATCAAGGAGCAATTTTGACTTTCAAGTCTTAAGGGAAAAGAACAAAATACCAACATTAACAGGAGTTTGGATAAAGCTGTTTCCAACCCTCATGGATGACTTTAAGGGGTTCAAGACTTCAGTGAAGGAAGTAACTGCAGTTGTGGTAGAAATAGCAAGAGAAGTAGAATTAGAAGTGGAGCCTTAAGGTGTGACTGAATTGCTGCCATCTCATGATAAAACTTGAACGACTGAGTTGTTTCTTATGGATGAGCAAAGAAAGTGTTTTTTGGTTTTTTGTTTTGTTTTGTTTTTTAAGATGGAATCTACTGGTAAAGATGCTGTGAAGATTGCTGAAATGAGAATAGAGGATTTACATAAACTTAGTTGATAAGCAGCACTGGGTTTGAGAGGATCGACTCCAATTTTGTAAGTTCTGTGGGTAAAATACTATCAAACAGCATTGCATGCTGCAGAGAAATCATTCCTGAAAGGAAGAGTCAATCGATGTGGCAAACTTCATTGTTGTCTTATTTAAGGAAATTACCAGTCACCCCACCCTGATCAGTCACCAGCCACCAACTCGAGGCAAGACTCTCCACCAGCAAAAAGATTGACTGAAGGCTCAGATGATGGTTAACACTTTTTAGCAATAAAGGATTTTTAATTAAGGTATGTACATTATTTTTTTAGACATGCTATTAATGCACACTTAATAGACTACAGTATCACGTAAATGCAACTTTTATATGCACTGGGAAACCAAAAAATTTGTGACTTGCCTTATTTCAATACTTGCTTTATTGTGGTGGTCTGGGACCAAACTCGCAATATCTCCAAGGTGTACCTGTACCTGAAAATTTTCGTCATATACAAACAGCTTATCCTTATAAAGTAAAACATGTCTAACTTGATGTTTTTGGCTTTTTTCCCCACACACTGAGGTTATTCAAATATTTCCCTAAATTTTATTATATATTTTACTGCTTTTATATTTTAAAACAACTTATTTTCAAAATGAGCTGATCTTGAAGGGAATGCTTTCAACATTTCATCATTAAGGATGTTTGCTGTAGGTTTTCTTGGTGAAAGTCTTTTATTACCTTAAGGAAGTGCTTTTCTGTGCATTATTAAATTTTTCAAATACTTTTTATTTATTGAGATGATCCTATGACTTTCTCCTTTATCTATTAATGTGGTGAAATACATTAATTGATTTTGTATTGTTAAACAACCTTGCATTCCAGAGATAAACTCAACTTAATGATGCATAACCTTTTTCATGCAATGCTGAAATCACTTTGCTAATACAATATTAGCAATTTTAGAATTTTTCCATCGATAGTCTTGAATGAGATTAGACTATAATTTTCCTTTCCTTTTCTCTTTGTTTTCATATCAAGGTATGTGAAACTCATGAAAAAAATGGAAAATGTTCTCTCTTCAATCTGTTTCTTGAATTTGGAGTGTTCTTACCGTAAAACTATCTAGTCAAAGCATTTTCTTTGTAAGAAAGAATTTTAATTTTGGGCTCTATTCTTTAATATTACAGAACCTAGCAGCTTTTTTTTTTCTTATTAAGCCAGTTTTATTCATTTGTATTTTCTTCAAAATTTATTAGTTTCAATTAACTTTTCAATTTGGCAGAAAGTTGTTCATAATATCATATAGCATGTGTCTAGATTATAACACATCTAACATTTTATATTAGCTCCCCCTCTCTCAGCCTTGACAGATGTTTGTCATTATTGGTCTTCTCAAAATACTGAAACAATAAATTACTACTATGAAGTGACAACCACATAAATAATATACAGGTTAAGAAACAGAACATTGCTAGAAGTAGGAAGGTTCCCATGTGCCCCTTCCTCATTTTCACCCAGAGAGGTTATACTATGTTGGTTTTTAGAATAATCATTTTTCTTGCTTGCTTTTAAACTTGTACTAGGTAACTTTGCAACCTGAAGTATTACTTTGCCAATTTTTAAAATTTATATAAATGGAATCATAGAATAGTTGTTCTTTTATATGTTTTCTTTCATTGAATACTTTCAAAGTTTATCCAGGCTGTTGCATGTTGATTCAATGCATGACTATAACACAGTATATTCATATATTGTAATGTTGATGTAAATTTCTGATTTTTCATTTTCAGGCTATTACATATAATGATGCAGCTATGAACATTCTTTTGTACATGGATTCTGGTATTCATATGCCTATATTTTTCTGAAATAAATATCTGGAATCACAATTATTTGGTTTTAAGGTATGTGTACCTTAATCTTTATTGGTTAATGCCAAGCATCTTGTAAAAATGGTTATACAATTTATACTCCTACAATCAGTGGAAGAGATCTCTGCTTCCCATTTGTGCTAAGCAAATATGGTGTATGTGCAAGGGTGTCTTATTTGCATTTTCTGCATTATGAATGAGAAATGTTTCTTAATTAAGCGTATTAGCCATTTGGATTTCCTCACTTGTAAAATACCTGGTTTTCTATAAGGATGTCTGATTTTTCAGATTTTTTTAGTGATTTACATCTTCTGGATATGTCAGTTCCATATATTGCAAACATCTACTCTTTGACTTTAATGATGTCTTTTCATGACGAGAAGTTCTTAATTTTTAATGCAGATTTATCTGTCCTTCCCACTATAATTAATTATCTTAAACATGATAACATGTTTAAGCAATCTTTTCCAACCCAAAAGAGTAAGATCCTCTCGTATACTATCTAGTAACATCTTTATAGTTTTACATTTCATATTTAGGCCTATAATTCCTTTGAAATTCATTTTTGTACAGCATGTTAGAAATTTCCTTCTCTTCTTTTTTAAATAAAGATACCCATTTTTTCCCAGCACCATTTGTTGAACAGACTATCTTTTTGTCAGTTTTAAAGTGCCACTTTTGTCTGTTTGTGGATTTTCAATCATAATCCATTAATTTATCTGTGCTCAGTACACCAAGACTTCTAACACCTCACTGTCTTGATTACTACACCTTTAGAATAAACCTTGTTTCTGATAAAGCAAGTCCTCTCACTTCTTCAACTTACCTCTTAGTCTTAACTCTTGTATTTCCACATATATTTTGGAAATAATTTGTCATGTTACACACACACACGCACAAAATCTTGATCGGCTCAATTTGGGGGAAACTTATTTTTCAAAATTGAAGTAACTAATCCATGACAATGGTACAATATCTCCATTAAGGTCTTTAATTGATATAAATTAAGTCCCATAGTCTTCCCTGTAAGATCTTGTACATCTTTTGTTGTATTTATTATTAAGTACTTCAGTGGGTTTTATGCTGTTGTCACAGGTATCTTTTAAGAATAAGTATTCTCAACCTGTTTGTGGCTGGTGTTAAGAAATACAGTTGATATTTATATATTAATTTTGTATCAGAATTTAACCTAGTAACTTATCTGTATATTCTTTAGGATTGCCTATCTACACAATGATATCATCTGTGAATAATAACAGCATTGGTTTTTCCTTTCTAATTTTTATACCATTTCCTTTACTTAACAATCCTGCATTGGGGAAGGGGAACTACAGTCAAATGTTGATTAAAGGTGATGAAGTGAGCACTCCTCTCCTTTCTGATCACAAAGAAGACGTTGCCAAGGCTTCATCATTAAGTATGACATTTGTTATGGGTTTTTTGATAGATAACCTTTATCAGTTTAAGTATGTTCCATTGTACTCCTAATTTGCAAAAAGTATAATAATAGACACATTTATCAGATTTTTTCTGAAAATACAGCGGTAATATAATTTTCCTGCCTTACCCTATTAAAGTAGAAGATACACTGATAAATTATCTAAAAACAACCTTGTGCGCCTGGTATAAAGCAAACCTGGTTATGATATATAATTCTTTTTACATATTAAAATGAAATATTTTATTTTAAAATTTTACACGTACTTTCACAAATAAGACTAACCTTTCTTAAAATGTCCAAGGTTATCTAGGACTCATAAAATGAGTTGGGAAGTATTTCCTTTCTCTGTTCTCCTTAAGAATTTGTGTAAGATTGGTTAATTCTTCATTAAATGTTGAATACTATTCATTATCCAGTGAAGCCATCTGGGCCCAATTTCTTTCTAGTAATGATTTTAAATTTGGATTCCTTTTCTTTAGTGTTTATAGGAACATTTATGTTTTCTATTTTTTCCTATATCAGTATTAATAAGTTATATATTTCTAAAAATATCTGTGAGAATTGTGGTATTTTGTGGGAGTAATGAGTTCCAGTTTGCTCACATCCTTCTGCATCCACACACCCCTGGGCTGTAGTACCTTTCCACATTTTAAAGCTCCCTTTAAAATTAGAATTAACTACCTGCTATATTTTGCCAGTGAACATCCAATACATTTGAACCTCACACAACCTTATCTCATGTTATTTCCTCTCCCTGGAAAACCTCCACTTTTGGAGGAGATCACAGCTCCATCCCCCCAATAAAGCGATAAAAGTGCATCTTCTGCCAGAAAAATGCACACATACATGCAAATAAAATATATTTTATATATTTTATATAAACTATGATAGGATTCACTACCTCCATTGTGCAGTAGATTCCAGATTAAAGACTCCTAACCTACACATAGCCCAGTATATAAATGCTCAAAAGCATTAATGGAGGAAGGAATAAGCAAATAAATATGTAAGTAGATAACAGAGCAGAGACTGATATATGCATTCACAGTGGCCTACGAAAATTTGTCTAAAAGAACTATTTAAAACATGAAACGTAAAATACTTGAGTTTTAAGTATTTATTTACAAAGTTCTTCCTAATACAACTGCTTTTAAAATATAGCAATAATGAGTCATTTACTATTTAAAAGTGGCACATATGTGGCATAGGAAAAAAAACTATAGTCAAACTATTATAATGAATAACTGAAAATTGTTAAACGACAATTAAACATTTGCAGTATTTTGTATTACTGACTATAAAAAGAAAACTACTGTGAAAGATAATATCAGGGTTTGAAAATATTTTACAACAGCAAATAAATGTATTTCAATTTTACATTTAATTATGAGTCTACAATAAAAATCTGACCATATACAGTATCTATGTATTTAATAGATTAGTAAAACTGACTCCAACTTTAAAATTATTTCATAAAGAGTATAAACAATCCTTACCACAATTTCCACATGGTCTTATCCTTCAAAATTAAATTCTACACACTATCAAGCTAAGTCAAGATTTACTAGTGCCTAAAATCACCATAAGTATATTGTCTCTGAAACAGCTATGTGTATACACCAATATCACATTTGTGCAAGGTATACATTATTTTTTAATCATTCTGTTCATATCTCAGTTTGCAAGTATGTTTTGAAACCATCTACTTTAACTGTTATTCTTGTTAATGGGGGAAGTCTTTTTAAATCCACATGCTATTATATCTTTATTTATTATAAAATAAACTTCAAAAGGAGCAGTTAAATAACTACTTCAGACAACTCATGTGAAACAAGATTCCAGTACTCAGAGATCTATGTGATATTTAATCTCTGCACAAATCGAGATACACATATATTTGTTTTGAAAAATTCATTCACAGACACTATACAAAGAGATTCACAGCAGTATTTGGCATCCACCAATAAAATTTATTTACTGTATCATGTTGCAAAGTTACTAATATCATGAATAACTTAAATTATTGATCTTCAATTAGACTCAAGCAAAAAGAAATATTACATCAAAATCAATATAATTTTTTACATGAATTAACTCAAAAAATGTAAGAGGTTAACCTTACTCTTTCAAGAAGAAAATAAAAGGGCATAGTTTAGTGTTACCTTCTTTCCAGCTTTCACCAAGTGCTAATGACAAGTACCATTTAAGTCAGTTTCTTGTTTGAATATGAGGTGTTCATAAGTTTCTACAAATTAAGATTTTTTTTTTAAAACTTCATATTAAATGAGTTGTAGATCTACTTAAAGTATGACTTCTCCTTTCAAAGAAAGAAGGAAGGCTGACAAGGGAGGGAGATGGAATGCCCTGTAAAGACAAGAGAAATATTTTATATTTAGTATTTTTCTTTTAAAAAATTGTAGCATACAGTTTAGCATCATGTGTATCACTTTTGCACTTAATAAATTATCATAACAATTAAGACATCTGAAACATCTAAACTCTTTAAGTAAATAACTAAAAATTAAAGGGAGGGCTGGGGAGGACACATAATTAAAACTATTTTAGCATTAAGTCTGAAAACAAGTGACAAATGGATAACTAGTTTACTACATATTAACTCAATTGAAATAGATACTGGCTTACTGCTAGTAGAGATATTAAGGATTTAGATTTTCAGGTTACTTTTTAAAATTATAATTTAATAAATTTTTGAGGCAAAAAGACAAACCTTAGTGATTTCTTCTTAATCATAAAGTAGAATTAAGAGTGAAATTACTTGAAGGGAAATAATTTTCTAAATTAAAAGTAATACACTCCAAGAGTTCTTGTATTATGTGCAACGCATATGTATATATGTGTATGTATGTGTCATGTGTATGTATAATTTTGCTCCATATAAATGCTGAACAAAATAGCATATCTGATAATAGAGATTATTAATATACTAAGCTATCTAAACTTGTTTTAGAGTGTCAAAGTTAAATATCTTCAGAATTTCTAATTACAAAGAAATAAGCACAAGAATACCAAAATCTCAAGAGGGGGTAAAAATGTAAAACAAATTATAAAGAAAGCTACTGTTTTATTTTAACAGACATGAATGGCTAACTAACTAAATTTAGAGCCAGCAAGGTAGCTGGCTATTAAGTTTTAATCAACAAGACAGTAAATAAAATGAAATGTTTAAAGAGCTGGGTTGGTAAAGTATTACCATTCAAGTCATAGCAAAGCAATGATTTAAATAGCATAAAATTTTATATTTTCCTCAGGTAAAAACTTTATGATTTGCCATATTAAAAGCATAAATTTTATATAAATGCCATAAATCTAAGATTAAGAATCAGATCTGGAATATAAACATACTTCACATGACAATTATTACTATTTTTTAAACAATCATTTTCATAAATAAAAACATTTCTGATAGGACTGATTTTTTTCTGGATTTATGAGTAAGTCCATAAGCCTAAGTTGTTGTGAATTCAAAGCAGTTACAAAGTTGTGAATTCAAAAGTCCCCACCCACCTAATAAGTGATTCAGTGGAGAAAAATACTTTCTTTTTTAAAAGATAAAAATTTCAAACAGCTAATAAGCTCACATTAAACTTCACGAGGCTTGTTTCCATTACTGGTTGGCATATCTCCTAATTCTTCACAAATTTCAAAGATGACTTGGATAGAACTTTTTTTTGAATTTGAAAAATCAGTATTTCCTTCTACCATCTCTGAATAACTAGTCTGTGAGGCAGAATGACGTATAGATCGAAACCAGGAGTTTTGAAAGCGCCCACCAGTAGAGTTTGAGCGCTGAACATAAAGATGCTTAGTAAGTCCAATTATACTGCTTGTAAAAACAGAATGGGTAATCTGTCAGAACACAAATAGGTAATTGAGAAGAGGACATGAATGTCTTAAAGATATTTTAGGTACTTCTTATTTATACTGTCTACATAAAATTAATAAATATATGTATATTCATTTTCTAAAATTTTTCTTATCTAATTATATTCATTTGAAAAGCAATAATGTTTATAATAGTTACTATAGATGCAGGAAATAAATAAGAGCTAGTACTCTGGCCTTCAGAAAGCCTACAATTTGATTTTAAGAAATGAATGCTTACTATATTTTTGTCAATTTCAATACATTTTTAACTGATCAAATTTCTTCACATAAATTTATATTATCTTTTAAGTGTAACTTCCCTCCCATTGGAAGGTTAACTTTGATTAAAAATCTGTATAAACATACTCATAAATTTAGCTGTAACTCTGATGTAATATTCACTAAAGACTTCACTTTTAAAAAATAAGTTGTTGAACATTATGTGCCTTGTCTGTATAAATTTTATATATAAACAGTAACCATTTATAAAACACCAGAGCACTCTCCCTGTGCCAAGTACTGTTCACAGCACTTTGTGTATATTAATTGATTTAATCCTTACAACTACTACTTTAGATTATTTTACAGATAGTGAAGTTAAAACAGAAAGATCTTTAATAAGTTGCCAAAAGTCATACAGCTAGTAAATAGCAGAGCCGGGATTTGAACATGTGAGTTCCAGAGTTCACACTCTTAATATCTACTCAACCGTCTCTGAGTATATTTCAGTATATAATTGTGAGAGAGAGAGAGAGAGTGTGTGTGTGTATTTAGTCCTTACAATAATACTACATGGTAAGCACTGTTGACCTCTTTTCTCTCATCTGCAAAAATGGGTATAAGAAAGAATAAGATAACTGCTGAAGTACATACAGCTAAGAAGTGACAGTCACTTGCTTTTCTTGACCTTAGTTGGTAAGTAATAATTTTTGCAAACAACAGATACATCACTCATATACTTAGTGACTATAATAAATGTTAGAAATAGCCTTAATATTGTCTAATAATTCTGAAACATTTGAGATTTCTCAGAAAACATTTAAAAATATACGCATGAATTAAGAACTCATATCACCCTCCAAGATTCACAGCTTCAGAGATTATACATTCATCACAGAAATATAATGAAAGAAAGCTCAGTCTCTGCTGTATTATTGGAGCTAATCTGTATAAACAAGACCATCACTGTTTGCATTAGTAACGTGATGGGCCAGATGGAAACATGTTTTCTTTGAGATTAACATCTCAATCTGAATAAAATTTCCTATCAAATAAACTACACATTAAGCAAGTAGTTCATTAAGCAAGGTTTTCTCAGTTACCTTCACCCAATAAAGAGGTTAGAGGTTTAGATACATCAAAATAATTGATGGAGATGTTAAGATTTCCATCTTTAAAAGTTAACAAATTCCACACCAACTCCCATAACATGAATAAGCCATTTAGCCCATTAAATCAAAATAACTTACTGCTAATGACGATGTGCTAGACAGACGACTCATTACGTGCTTTTCATTGCTAGAAGGACTTCTTCCCTCCACTGAACCTTGGGATGTCATAAGAGCTCTTCGTAGAGCCCTTTTTGGAGTTTTGGAGAAAGAAAATGCTCTTGTAACCTAGAATTAAAATGAGTTACAATTAATTAACAAACCTAGACAAATTTAATAACAACTGGTAAGAACAACTACGTGTAAACAAAGCCAAATAAACTTCAAAAGGTTTTCTACAAAAAAAAGGTTTTCTACATTTTCTATATGGCAGAATTAGGATCTCTTTGGACAAAGCAGTGAGGAAATGTAGTACACTGTAAACTATTCCAGCCTGCATTCACTGAGCACTACAGTCCAAGGGGAAAAGGTGGAAGGGAAAATTAGGCGTGAGAGAGGAACCTCGGTGTTACCTGATAATATGACAATTTAGTTGTGAGATCTTTGATCCAAAGCCACTTGAACCTCAATTTCTTTCATTGAAAAGTGAAGTTCATTTGAAGTCATTTTTAACATATTTATCTACTATACACCACACATGTTAAATGCAGAGATACAGCGATGATTAAATAAAACACAAGGTCTCCTCTCAAAGGCAAAGTAAACAAGAACAAAATACTTGTAAACTTAACAGTAGACTCTGGTTGCAAATTTTATGTGTAATAATAAAATTCTGGTTCCACTTTTAAAAAGCCCTATTAGCAACATTCTTATGTAGTCCTCAGCAACTCTGATAAGTAGGGAAGGTATTTATTAGAAGACTGAAACATACTTGTGGTCAAGAATAGATTCCAGGTCTCCTGACTCTTTCATGTGCCCTTTGCTGAAAAATATCTGAGGCAGTTTCTAAGATGAATGCACACATATCTATATTTAAAACACCATCAGTACCTTTCTACTCAAGTATAGCCCATAGAAGTATCACTGTAACAAGAATGAGGATAACAAGTTGTCATATAATTACTGTGCCAAAGAAGTCACAGAACTAAACTATTACCTCTGTGGGCCATTTCCTAGAACCAAAAAACAGCTTTGTTTTATATACACCTTTACAGTGACACTTAGGGCAGTATTATTTTAATATACTCTGAAAAATACATTTTGGAGATATGCTGAATTTTAGTATTTTCTCCTTATCCTTAATGGTTGTCAGTTTGATGACTATGTGCCTTGGTGTGTTCCTCTTTGGGCTGATTCTGTGTGGTACTCTCTGCGCTTCCAGGACTTGGGTGACTATTTCCTTTCCCAAGTTGGGGAAATTTTCGGTTATTATCTCCAAAAATTTTCTCAGGTCCCCTCTCTCTCTCTTTCTGGGACCCCTATAATGCGAATATTAGACTGCTTCATGTTGTCCCTGCATTCTCTTAAACTATCCCCATTCCTTTTTATTCTTTTTTCTGTTCTGAAGTAGTGATTTCCACTAATCTGTCTTTTAGCTCACTGATCCATTCTTCTGCCTCATTTAGTCTATTCTTGGTTCCTTCTAGGGTATTGTTCATTTCAGTGACCTTATTCTTCAACTCCGTTTGGGTATTCTTTATATTTTCCAATTCTTTGCTAAAAACTTCACTCTGTGCACCCTATACTCCTCTTGGGTTCTCTGAACATCTAGGGCATCATTACTTTAAACTCTTTCTCAGATAAATTACCTATCTCCTCATCACATGTCTTCTTCTGGGATTTTATCTTGTGCCTTGGCGTGGAGGAGATATGCTGAATAATTTCACTAAGACTCACCTTTTTTGAAGTCTTTTTTATTGCTCTAGATGCTCTACTCAATGTACTGTCCATATCTTTTGTATTTACTTCAAAGGATTCTGGATCAGCAGTATAAATAAGATTCTCCTGTTGGAAATTAATATTTTTATTGTTTTAAAATAAATTAATTAAAAAACACAACTGTGCCTAAAATCAAACCTTTAAGCACTAATATGCATACATAGGGAGTGTGTATACATGAAGGTGCTCAAGATTCTTGATGCATTTGACATCATTTCTACTCTGAAATACATTCATTTAAGGATACTGGAAAATAAGCACTCAGGCCATGAATTGGCAAGTTGCCTCACTACTCTAGCATAAGACTATCCTCCAGCACTACCATTCTGTGGCTAGAGAAACAATGTGCTAAATATCATACTCTACAATTATAAATGCTTGCTTTGTACATAGAAACTTATGGTTACCAAAGGGGAAAGGAGGAGGGGAGGGATAAATTAGGATTTTGAGATTTACAGATACACACTACTATATATAAAACAGATTTTTTTTAAAAAAGGCCTACTATAAAGCACAGGGAACTATATTCTTACATATTTATGTTTTATTTGGCTACTTAACTGTTATAAGTGCTAATAGTTCTCAATTGGTTCTTGTTAATTATCCAGACAAAAATTTGCAAAACAACTGTGAATAGTTAACATCTCTCGCCAATCCATGAGAGACAAAGTAGTGAGGACTGTAATTCAAGCTCTGCCTATCCTGGAGTATCCTGGCATCCCCATACACATACACCCACAAGGTTTTTCATTAAGATTTCCTACATCTCAGAGGGATCAATTTTCCTACAGGGCTGTACTTCCGACACCATAAACTAAGCACAGCTTAGTTTTATGAACTTAATTTTGTTTTATTCATTCTATCTTCAATTTTAATTTCATTTAATTTCATTTCAAGCTGGATTTCATTCAGTCAACAAATATATATTGCTGGCCTTCTATTTGACAAGCATTTTTTTTAATGTTCCTAAATACAGAGGCAAATTTAACAAAAGGATGTTTTGACACTTATATTTTCCTCCATTTAAACATATTTTCCTTCATTATGCTTTGTTTTCAAACTCAATGTTCATTCTGAACTGGTGAATTTAAGACTTTTTAAAAACTGAAAATCTGAAAAAAATCCAGAAGGAATTAGGCATAAAACAATTAGAAACGTTAAGAAAACAAATTTAATAAAACTGACTGGGTACAAAATCAACATACCAAACATACCAAACATATCAAAGATTCACCTATATACAGAACAACTAAAACATTTGAAATATCTCATTTATGATACTATTACAAAGATAAAATTACTTAGGAAAAAATCTAACAAGAAATGCAAGTCTGCATGTATTATTTATGGAAAGATACCTACGAAAGTATCAAAAATTTTACCACTGAAAATACTAGTGGGACAGAAATATATACTGCAGTATACCTTGAGTTTTTTCTTATATGTAAATATTATTTTTCAACTTAAGAGAGGAAAGTAAAAATCATAGCATGAATATAAAAGTAAATATTGTGGTAACTTAAATTTACTCTGAATAAAATATTTAGATGCAAAATGTATTAATGTTTATATAATGAAACTAAATTCCAAGTGTGTTCAATTTTGGTGAAATGCTCTTTTCATAACAAAGACCCCTGAAATTTAAATCCCTAAGCAGTTGTTAATAAAGAAAAGAGAGTCTCAGTCTTTCCTTTTGCTACAGTAACAATTACTAAGCAGATAGTAACCACCTACAAACTGAAAAGGGAGCTGATGGCTTCATGTTTTCTCTCAAGGAACAAATAAATTACTTCTGGTTTGGTTGGGGGAGATACATATGAGGCCTTTTACATTTCTAGTAGGTTCAGAACGACTGAAAGGGTAAACATCTAGGTAGTGCACTAATAACTGAGTAGAATATATAGTTGTTTTCTAAGATATAAAGATGAAATACTTCCTTTAGTTCTCTCTGCCCAGAAGAAGGTAAGCAGGACAAATCACAGGCGAAACAGGGGAAACGTTCAGTATTCTTAGGCTTTTTCCTATTACTTTTTCTCATTAATAAAATGAAAAAGAAACCCACAAAACAAAACAAAAATACTGCTTTCTAATCAATTCCTTTAAATTTCTAAAATAAAAATAAAATTTGTACCATAACCAAAATCATTTAAATAACATATGAATATAATTCTAAAAATACTTAATGACTTATTCAACGTATCTCATGCATTAAAGAAGCTTGGGAGGGGGAGTTCTTCAATCAGCCCCAAATTCACATGTATCTAAGACTAGTTTTAAAGATCTGAGTTTAAGTTTGGACAGTAGTGACCAATTTCTTCCATTGAGATATATAATATTAATTACAAGAGAAAACTGAGCCTTAGCTATAGATTTTAGAGGCCTATTTATAGGTCTTGAGTCACAGGAAATTTTTTTAGCATTTCTGATATCTTAAAGCCATTGGGACCCATCTACATGTGAGTTACCAGGTCCTTCTTTCCTTAAGCTCCCCTCTCCCACTATTCCTCAAACTCAGATATGAAAGAAAAAATAATCTAGTTTCATTGTGCCTCCTTTCTTAGCTTGTGTCTCTTTGATTTCCTCAAATTCCATAATCGTTTTTATAACTTAGAGCTTCTGATTTGGCCAAATTAAAGTAGTACCAATCACAGACATTTAGATTAACAACTTACTATGCATGGCAAATAATCAGCAGAATAACTATAGTTTTAAACACATCAATATTAACTCCATTATAAATAATATTAGCTCACAAACATGAACTCTTCTCCTATAAGTTGTATCTTCAGTCTAATCCTCTAGTTACAAATTTAAAACCTAAGAATGAATATTGCTACTCTTAAGTAGCCAGTGGTGATTTAACCAAGATGTGGGCTGGGTTTGATTTTTTAAAGAAATATAAAAAAAATTACTGGTAAAAGTATTGAATTGTCACATAGGACATTTAATTATCAAGTTACTACTTCTAAACTATTCAAAGTGCAAGAAGAGTGGTAACAATGCTTAAATGTATTTGTTAATAAAATTACACTTTTGTCATTAGAGGTCAGAAATCTGTAATGATTTCAGCAAAGCTACCATCTGACCTCAGGCAATAAGAACCTTAAAAATATCAACCATGCAATTAAAGGTTACATGTTGGCAAAACCAAAAATTTACACCTAAATATTCTGAGACAGAAAATTTGCAAAGATTCAAAACTTTAATCTTCAAATTCTGAAATAACAGAATATGGTGCATTGTATCCATAGGGAGAAAAATGATTAAAAGGGTTTAACCAAGAATAAGGACACTTGTATCCTCATGTCAGTTTTATGCTCTTAGCCTTAGTTTCACATGTAAAATAATGAGATTAGATTAAGTTTCCTTTCAGTTTGAAGACTTTCTTAAGTCATTTACAAATGGGCATAGAACAAAATAGTTGTAATTTCTTTACTCATAAGTAAGTTTTAATTATTTAAAAGTCCAAAAATCAAATAGAGCAAAACCTGATTAAAAGAATCAGAGATTTTTGTATCTTTTTCATTGTGAGTGTGTATATTGTGTGTGTATAGAAATACCTTCTCTTCAACATGCCAAATGTTCTCAAATGATAAGACAGTGATTCAGGGCTTTCAAAAAATGTACTATGCACAACATTTGAAGTGTAGGAAAAGTATTCAACTGAAGTGACTGAATATCTGAATTTACAAACATTTCTTAGTAACAAAATCTCACAACTTGGAAGAATTTTGTGGTTTAAGACAGTTAAATCAGGACAAAGTTAAATATTTGCTGCCATCTTGTGGTTAATTTTACTTTATAAAATATTTTCATTAACTGTCTATATTTCAGTTCTAGAATTATTAGCCATTTTGTGGCTAGTAATTGAGTAAATTTTGTTTTAAGGAAATTTTCCCATTAATTGTTTACACTTCAGAATCATGGTTATAAATTTGGAAAGGACTACATAAGCCATCTAGTCTGACATCATGATAAATCCAGGAGTAATTTCTACAACAGGCAATCACTATACTGCAGAGATCCATTTTATATATGGATACCTAGAACTATAAAAAAAATTCCTCCTTATAATGAGCAGTTTTTTGGCTTTACAAAAAGCTGTCTCCATCATTTTTCTAGCCAGCAGTCTGTTGTATGCACTAGCACTGTATTTCCATCTATGAACCTTTATTGACTAACAGCATAGTCTTGGCCCATAGAAATTTTAAAAAACAAATCAAAAAGTCTTAATTTTTCTAAACACCAAGGTAGATTAAATATTTTTAATCAAGTATTTATAAACAATAGTTATACCTCAATGTCTTTGAAGATCAGACTTAACTCCAATAAAATAAATGTTTTATTTCCAAATGAATGTCCAAGGCAATCTCAGTTACAGTACTACTGAATTGAAAAGGGTCATCTATCTATACATCCCCCTTTATTTAAGTTATCTGTGCAAAGACGAAGGGATCTAAATCTGTCCATCACATGTCTCTCCCATATATGAAAAAGTCAAATTAACTTTTAAGGGACCAAGATTTCATCCAAGATCTACAACAAGCTACCTGATTTCTAGTGAATTATTTAACTTCAGGAATTTGATTTTCTCATATTACTTCACTTTACTCTGCAAAGAATAAAGGTAATTATATATATTATGATTTTTAGAGGTTGAACTGAGAAAACTGGATTGGCAACTTGCTACAACTCACCTACTGCTTTCAATAAGATAAAAGAACAACAGAACAAAATACCCTGTATTTTACAAATAGCCAAGTCAAAGAGTACTGAAGAAAATACATTACAACAAATTCCAAAAGCTTCACTGTATCAGTCACAGGCACTATAAGGCTATGAGGATCTATCTGTAAGTTAAGGACTCAAAGAAATGTTTCATGTGTCTAGACTTTTAAAAATCTTTTCCAAAACAACTTTTAAACCAATTTTCCCAAATACACACAAAACAAAAACTCTCCTCCATTCATAATTAACAGGTTATTAGAAATATACAGGTTTAGTCTGAATGTTATTACCATGGAGTTTAAACTTTCCCTATAACAGTGGTTTAAGAACTTACAGCATCTGCTTTACAAATGGTGTTGGCTACATGTCGACATAGCATCTTTAGCCAGCTTTCTTTTGGAAGCTCCTCTGATGTCATCTGGAAACTGAGCAATACATTTGCCTGCTCTGTGGGCGGCCTCACAAGCAAGGCAAAAGCGTTATGGCAATCTAGGGTTGCAGAATAATCACAAACATTAAGTGTTACTCCTTAGAAAATGATAGATTTGTGCAAGTTTAGTTCTCTCAGAGCAACAAAATTCCAATGAGATTATCTCTTTTCCACCTTTCTTGCCCCTGTTTTTAACTGAGCAAAAAATGTAACCATATCACACTGAAACAATGGAAAGAATTATAATTAGTAATTATAATAAGTACCATGTGAGGAACCAACAATGATAATAACATTAAGTAAGCAGTATTTTCCCTACATTTAATATTTTCTTTGATAGTTTCAAAAAATTAAACTATATCATTTCTTAGAATTCTAGAATTTAAGTTTTAAATTAAACTGACAATGAAGAATTATTCAATAATTCAACCTACTTAAATCAATCTCAAAGAATAAAAACATTCAAATATTACAAAGTTTTGTGACCAAGATACTAAAACAGGACGTATTTTAAACAAAATCTTCCATAATTATAACCCCAAAATAGAGAGATGATTTAAATAAATGTTCTATGTAACCCTTAATAAACCCAAATTCAAAAACTGAGTAAAGACAGCAATATAAGTTGCTGTTCAAGTTTTCTTTAATTGCTTCTCATAAACTAAAAGTTTTCATCATTGGGAAATTATGGGATCAGTAATGGAACCAGCATACATTGTGAAAACGTATGTCTAATAAGCAAAGTATTATCAGGCACACACATCACTAGGTATCAATTAAACAAATGATACTACTTTTGCTAAGTATAAACTTTTACTAATTTCAGGCCTTCGGAGAAACTTCTCTAACACTCCCAAAGTTTAGAGTAAAAGCTTTCCTTAATACACATTTCAGCCCATGTTGAGTCTACCACGGTTACTTTGGGAGTATTTACCCATGCCCATCTATTCCTGGTCATATCCTCAATGTATCCCTAACAATACAGCCACTGGCAACAGGGAAGGTATAAGATGCGGAACACAGTTAATAGATTACAGCTGCTTTTGGACTCTAAAGGAATAAAAATAAGTTTTTGTGTGGGAATAAGTTAGGCACCATTTTGACATGTAAAAGCTCTTTGTCCCTTAGGAGATAAAGATATCCTACAGGTTGAGATCTAGTTCTTTCATTTGAAAAAAATTAACTTGGTTCCTAGAGATGTAGTTGGGATAGAAATGTAAGAATCATTACTTTGCCAGAACTAACCAACAATATTCAAAGATAATGTACCAGTTAAAAAAAAAAAAAAAGACAAACTTACTTACAAAACAGAAACACAGATAGAGAAAACAAATTTATGGTTACCAGGTGGGGAGAAGGGATAAATTGGGGGTTCAATACTTGCAGATACTAACTACTATACATAAAATAGATGAATAACAAGTCTGTACTGTATAACACAGGGAACTATATTCAATATCCTGTAGTAACCTATGGTAAAAAGAATATGAAAATGAATATACATATATTCCTGTATGACTGAAGTATTGTGCTGTACACCAGAAATTGACACAACATTGTAAACTGACTATACTTCTATAAAAATATATTTGAAAAATAAAAATAGAATAAAATAAAATTCTCAAGAAAGTCAAATAAATAAATAAATAAAGATAGTTTACCAGTTTAACAAATATGTAAGGGAGTAAATCACTTTCAATTCATATAAATTATTTTTATTTAGCCAATAGTTTACCCAATGAGCATACCTTCTGTCTCTCTTATGTCTAGCACTTTCTTAATCTGAGAAAGAGGCATTAGATGAATATGCTTAAGAGAAGCTGGCGGTCGGGTCTGGCCATGGGGACTCCTAAAAGTGCCAATAACTTTGTGTCGTTTTCTTGCTATCTGATTATAGAAAGAACAAAAAAAAAGTCATTGTCAGTAACATGAAAACAAAGACCAAAAGATTAAAAACAAAATGACACTAATAACATAAATCTATATGCAGTTCATTTCACTATCAGTCATTCCAGAACTACTATTTGATAAGAAGCAGAGTTGCTATGTAACAAATTCATACATGTAATTATGTAGCAGAAATGCTCACGTTTACATGAGAAGAGCTCAAAGTAAGGAAAACAGGCAAAAGGACAGGGTCTATGGAAAAGGTCCCAGAGGAGTGAAAGAACTTAGAGGCATTGCAAGAAGTAATGAGATCAAAGGATAGAAGAATCATCAATTAAAGGCCTTGAATTCAGAAAGTGGACTAGTTGCTCTGGGATCACAACCTTTGGTTCAAAAGGTAATTGATTTCAGTTTAGGAGCTGAATTCACAGCTATCTCAGATCCTGTGCAAGGCACTGAGGATAAAGGAGTGAATGACACAGAAATGGTTCTGATTCTCAGGACATTTACACTCATTGAGAAACAGGAAGATTAAAATAACTAAACAGTATGTTAAAAACTGATATAAATTATAAACTCAAGGTGCTGTGTTAAGATACAACTTTACCTAAACTGGAAACTCATGCAAAAGGAAGAGACAGGTAGATTAACGCTGGAGAAGATAGGAGCAAAACCAGAAAGGACCCTGTGATTTGTGATCTATTTGAGTTCTGTGAATTTTATAGTATTTCCATTTATTGCTTTCATTTCCATGAAAGCCTAGTATATTATTTTGCCTTTTTAAAAGAACATCTCTGTTGAGGCTATATTCATCAACTGAAAGACATTAACACAAAATGATTTAGATTAAGTTACTAATGAATTGAGATTGATGGGTCATCATCATGAATACGACAAAGTGAGGCTGAAAAATGTACTCCCTTGTGTTGGCTAGTGAGAAAAGATCAAAAGGCAGTCAGTATCATATTCACATTGATGCAAAATATGACACAGATCTGTTACATATCAAATATTAAAAGTTCATGTACATTAATGTGGTGAAAATAAGCAGACTCTTTAAATATTCCCACGGTGATATCTGAACATACTTTCAATCTGGCCAAGCAAAGTAACTTTAAGGTTCATTTTTAAAAAAGAAAAACAATAACAAGTATTAATGCTGATGATACAAATGCTAGTTTATTAAGGTAAAAACTCAAAATACAGATAAAATATAAACAGGAAAAGTATATCCTTAAATCCTAAATTAGTTTAGCTTCAGTAAAACATCACCTGTCATGTTTAAGAGAAGTCAGTATAGATTTTATCCGTTTCAAATGTTTCTAACTTTTACCACACTCTTCATTCCAAATTTGCTCAGTCTTTTTATTTTTCTTAAACAAAAAAAGCTAAAGAATAAGAGTTTATAAATCTAAAACTCCTAATTTATAAATCTGGAGTCCAAACTTAATGTTAGAAATAGAGCTGTTACACTTAATGTGATCCTGACATGGAGACTAAGAGAGAGGAGAACAAAAAGTCACTGAATTCAGGAAGGTAAAGGACATGAAAGGCCAGGGTATCATATAATGGACTTGGAAACTACAAGGAATGACCAACAGCAGCAATTAAAGTGGAAAGTAAGTCAATGAGCCAGTTATAGAAGACTTCATAGAATTTGAAGGGATGTAAGAAAAAAAATTTTTTAAGTAAGCCACAACTCTCTAAGGATTAAGAGGATAAAGACCAGAACGGATTAACAAAGGAAATACAGATAACCTAACCCATTTGGATGAATGGAGCCAGCTGACCTAGGGACTTCAACAGGAGAAACCTAAAGAAGCTTTAATGGAAGCCAACAAATAGAAGTACTGAGCAATTAAATGGCACTCAGTGTAACAGTATCATCCAGATTCAGATAAAATATGAGCAAACATTGACTCCACCTAGCCCCATTCTCAAAAGCAGAGCAGGCTAAAGCTCTCATTGTGGGGGAGACAATTAGTGCAGAATTAACTGCCTCCTCATTTTTTCTAACTTTCTCGGTTCAGGGTATGGTCAATTGTGTACAGTATTTTCACTGTCTTTACTTTTGTGTTTTGTGACAATATTGACCAAATGGAAATACTATTCTTCACTAACCTCGTAACAATAAAATACAAGTGAAATTTTTGGTGATTTTATTGCAGCTGTAACAGTGCTTGGCTTGTTCTCTAAGATTCCCTTGTATTTTATACATTAAATACTGATATACATGATATAAGAAAATAGCACTAGAAGAGAAGTGAAGTGGAAAAGAGTAAAAGGAAGTATAGATTTTAAAGAAAAAGGCAACCCATCAAATCACTTTAATGAAAGCAACAAAAAGTTACCAAATAACAGAAACGTTAAATTAATTTCCAGGTTAACGACTGCTTTATCAAAATGAACAAGCCTCATTTCTGGGATAAAGGAAAATATACTCCTTTATATTCCCCAATTAGACTGTCTAGTTGTTTTTTAAAAAACACTACTAAAGGAAAGGAAGAAAAGGGTTAGAAAAGCCCATAAACGTAATTCAATCTCCCATAGGGGTAATATAGGGAAAAACTTTAACTGAGATAGTTAAAAATTTTAGAAGTAGAATCATTGTACCCCATTTGATAAACTGACCACTCCATCACTGTAAAAACTTCAGACTTAAGGAAGAAATCAGGGGATTATAATTCATTATGTTAAATAACCAAGTTATCTCCCTCTGATTTCTCCTTTGCCAGAGAAATCTACTTAAATTTCAGAAAGAACTAATAATTATTTTGTAAATCTTGAAGAAATACATGCAGATACAGGAAGTTCCTAAAATTCTTGACCTAAGCACTTATTTACATGGAAATAAACTAAATTTTCATTGTGACTTAGACTTGAAATCATAAAAAATTATGATTCTTAATATGAGGCCTTCTCCTAAAAGCATTCTGTTAACAGTATTAGACCAAAGAATGTGATTATTTAAGTTCACTTTACTTTAAACTTATTTTAATCACTTAATTTAAATCTATTGTACTTCAATCAATACTGTACTTGGTTTTAAACATTCAGTGAAGTCACACAAAACAGCAGTGTTATTTATTACACTGTATTAAGCCCAACTTTACCTCCAGGCAGTCATTGAAGAGAAAGAGAGTTACTTGTTCTCCTCTGTCACAGGGGTGCTCACCTAGAGAAACTGTTTCAACTCTCTGGACTAAGCTTCGGTGAGAAGATAAAAGATTAGCCTAAATAGATTGAAAATATTAATAGAAGAGATTACTTTATAGCAAGTAATTTTTTTTAAAAGTTAAATAATTTAAAAGAAAGTTGTCCTGAGATTCTGTTTATAATAAAACTACAGAATCTAAATACAGTTAACCCTTGAACAATACAAGTTTGAACTGTGCTGGTCCATTTACACACAGATTTTTTTAAATAAACAAGCACTACAGCACAACATAATCCACAGTTGGTTGAATCTATGAATGTGGAACCACAGAAACCACAGGCCAACTGTAAACTTACACACAGATTTTCTACTGTGCTGGGGGGTTGGTGCCCCTAACCCTCAGTTGTTCAAGGGCCAACTGTAACAAGAAAAAGAAAATAGACAGTCATCAAAAATAAATACTTACTGGGCATCCATCTACTTCATAAACAACATCAAAAATTTGCTTTTGAGCTTCTGTTTTTCTCTTATCCTCATTAATATGCCTGAAAAATTAATGAGGTTACTTTTAAAACAACAGACTATGAAAACTGCATATACATACATCTCATGTCACAAAAAAAGTCCTTCCATGTGAGTCTGTCTTTAACTGGTAACTGTATCAGTTAAAATATTCCCTAAAAGTATCCCACTACATTAAAAAATTTTCATACAATCCTTCAGAAAAATATATTTTGCTTTACTTCTTACTATAATCTTTTTTTAACTATATTCACTATACACTCCCTAAAATACATTACACTGGTATAAACTTCAGGCTAACATAAGTTTTAACTGTAAGTTTAGTTAAGTTTTTATGCAAGTCATTCCCAAGTCATATGTTAATCATTTCAAGGAAATAAAAACTAAGACTACTTACTGCTTCCAAACAAGATAGAATAAGGAAGAAAAAAACATACTCTGCCTGAAATAACTTGAAAAACTGTCAAAGTGTAAAGAAACAAAGGTTTCTCAAATCACTAGAAGTCAATTCCTATGAGACAGGAAACAATGCAAGCCCAACTGTATACTGTCTACAAAAGATACACTTTACATACAAAGACATAAATAGACTGAAAAGTAAAATGTTGAAAATACTCCACCAGACAAGAGCAAAATACATTTTTCTCAAGTGTACATGGAACATTCTCCAGGTTAAGCCATAAAACAAGCCTCAAAAAGTTTGAAAGGATTAAAATAATACAAAGTATATTTTCCAGAAACAATGAAGTGAAATTATAAGTTAGTAACAAAAAGAATCTTTGAAAATTCACAAACATATGGGAATTAACCAACACACACCAAAATAACCAATGGGTCAAGAAGTAATTACAAAGGAAATTTGAAAATACTTTGAGATAAACAAAAACACAAAATTTATGGGATATACAACTAAAGCAGTGCTTAAAGAGAAATTTATAGTTATAAAAATATATAATAAAGATCTCAAATCAATATCTTAACTGTCTACTTTAAGGTAGTCGGGGGAAAAAAGAAGAGCAAACAATCTAAAACAAGCAGAAAAAAGGAAATCATAATGATTAGAGTGAAAATGAATGAAATAGAGAATATAAAAATAATAGAGAAAAACTAACAAAACTAAAAGCTTTTCTCTTTTGTGAAAATATGTTAACACTGACTGCCTAATTCATCATTTGTGGAAAGGATTACGGTAAATAATGTGTGTCTAAGTATGTTAAACCATGAAGTGTTGAAACAAACTATCATCCCAATCCCAAAATAACAAACCAAGAGCATAAAGGCTGGTTGATTAACATATAAAATATGAACATAAGCAAAAACTAAAACATAAGCCTCATGCTTTCAGCAGCAACAGAAGC